TTTAACCATTATACAGAATGACGAAAATGTGACTAAGATTTCATTGACTAAAACTTGACTAAAATGCTAACATTTCATTGACTTAAACTTGATAAACAAAAACAGGACAAGGTTGTCTAAATATGATAACTAAAATGGACATTTGAGTAAGACTAAGACTAACTTAAAAATGGCTGCCAAAATTAATACTGTACGGTTAATTAATAATAATTTGATTGCTAAAATGTCAAGTTTTCATTGACTAAAACTAGACTAAAATACTTCAGGTTTTCTTGGACTAAAACTAGACTAAAATGTTGAGACTTTTAGTCGACTAAAACTAAATAGGATAAGGTTGACTAAATATGATAAAAACTAACAAGGACATTTTAACACGGGACTAAGACTAAGACTAAAATGAAAATAGCTGACAAAATTAACACTACTTAAAATAAATTTAAATATGTAATTAAAAATATTTAGTATATACACATTATTTTTTCCACAATTTATTATATATATTTCACTTATTAAATTCATTTAGACTTGCATTTTTAAGTATATTTAATCCAAATGAACAATAGCATTAATGTAAAAAACAGGCATGTAAAACAAACCTGCTCATGCAACTGTTTCCTTAGCTTTGGGTTAAACACGTACCTGCACTGCACTGTTGAGGAAGCAGCTGTTCTGTCCCGGCTCATTTAGTAGTCCCTTGGTAGGGGCCAAGGATAGCATAGATCCTGGCTGGTAAGACCTGGAAAGATTGCCTCCTGGTCTCCTGAAGAACTTGGCCCATGCCATTGGATTTGGGGTATCTGCCGTCCTGCAGAAGTTTTGAGTTGTAATTTCAAGTAATTTGACTAGTCAAAATGGGAAAGGGTTGTTAAGACAGGTTAACTTGAGGATTTTAATGTCCATTTCCTACAAGTTGTAGTCAGTCATTGAGTAAAAGTGTTGATTTTTGTTACTAACCTGTATGTAAGAGGTCTCTTGATGTGTATGTCCTAGACAGGATGGTTTGATCATTCCCTGAATTGGGTTGGGGAATTAGGCGGGTTGTTGGTGGCTAGTGTGGCCATCGGGCCTTGCGAGACTCGCAGCATAGTTATGAAGGTGTCAGCTGGAATCAGTCAACCTTTAAAGGGTCATCCATGTTTCAGACGCTGCTCTTGGAGGACATCAGCCTTAGGATGAGTAAGACTCACTCTGTGGAGAGAAGCAAAGCAATGCATGAATTCTTTAAAGAGCATTTTAACACGTCTGCTTGAATGACTCATTACAAAAATACATCTGCACTTTGAATGTGAGCCTGGCTGATCACGTATATTGATTTCTTCAAATTGAGACACTGACAACAACAACAACAACACAAAACGCCATATCATTATAAAGACTTCCTTACAAATCACTAACGAGAGGAGTGGCTAAACATTCAAAACTGTGCAAAAGTCAGTAGGTCAGCTCATCCAACTGGTATTGCTGCGCTGAATAATGTTATTGTTTAACCGTTTTACGACTTTGCACCAACTTGTTTCTATGCAAGCAAGCTGATGTTACCCAACAGGAACAGACTGACAACATGACAAGGTCTTGGCAAGTGCACAGAGAAGGAATAACACACTGAACAAAATATGCAAATGTAGCTACTTTGTTGCTTCCACTTGAAAATCTAACAAAAATTCGGCAACTAGCGATGGCCTTGATACCTTAACTGTTATAATGAGTCAATATCGACACAGTACCGCTGCATTAAAGCATATCTGTTAAGTCAAGTCATTTTCAAACATAATGCACTGTACATATTGTAGCAGATTTACAGTAATAAACATGAAAATATCAATGTAAATATTGCAAAATTAATCAATTATGAAACAACTTCAATTTTAGTTTTAAAGCTGGTCCACAGAAGACACAAGCGTCATCGTTTAGCTCAGTTTAGTTCAATGTTGATTCAATTCAGTTCAATAAGTGTCGATGTTGCAAAGGTAATCAATTATAATTACATTCAGCTATAAAGCAGTTCTATAGAAGACAATACTTGTGCCATAATTCAGTTCATTTTAGTTCAATGTTGATTCAATTACAGTGTTCATCAATTTTAAAGCAATGGATCTAGCTAGAAAAAGCTCTACAGAAGGCAAGTGTCATTGTTAAGCTTAATTTTGTTCAATGTTAATTCAATTCAGTTCATTAACTGAAGTCGTTTCATAGTTGATCAACTTTGAAACACTGACAAAGGCAACTCTACAGAAGACAGTAGTGTACAATAGACAGCAGTAGTTCGATTCAGTTTAAGTTTCCTCCGATAGTGTCAGTGCAGTCGAGTCAATAATATTGCTGAATATCACTGAATATTAATGGTCTTTTAACAACGACACTGTCTATCCTTCTTGTTTATTGTTTTATCATGCATCTTCATTGCACCCATTGAGGTCTATAATACCTGGATAAAGCTAGCATTCGTTAGCAATAGCATTCCCATTAATCTCAGCAGACAGAGCAAAATCCATGTGGATTCTGGAAAGTTCCAGGTAGCATATTTTTCAGTGCCCAGGAATGATTTTGACAATGCGCCAGCACTACAAATGGCTGACTCCCTTGGACAGTTTGCTTATTTCTGAACTAGGGAGCATTTTGAAACACACCCATGAATCTGAAAACATGCTATCCACCCTAACTGATGCATTGGATGAGTTTTACTCAAGAACTACTCACAAAAAGAAATTAAATCTCAATAATTCCACATTTTTGGTTGATGACAACTTTGTTCTGCTTAGTGACTGAATGCAAAGTCCATTCTCCATCATGTAGCCTAACTGTTACAGCTGCAATACTCAAATCTCACAACTTTTTACTGAATTATCGTTTCTAGTAGGCCTACAGTATATCACTCACAAGCAGTGTTCCCACTGTCATTTTCAATTTGTTTCAGAGGAAGAGATTTCTATGAGATCACGCTGAAATAATGAATTCCTCTGATACCAATATTAAAAACAGAACAGGACATTAAGTTTCCAAAAATGTTCCACACAGGGTTGGTTGTTGGCTTGGAGATTATGGTGTGAAGTTCTGGAGATGATTGAGGGTGGAACTGCTTGATTTGGTGAAAATAGAGCCAAAAATAAGAACATGTGGGAGACTGTTTGTTGCTTTTGGTTCTAAGTTCAGTTTCAGCATACCCGGTTATAGTTTCCTCAACACCCTTTAAAAATAAAGGTTCCAAAAGGGGTTTTTGCAGCAATGCTATAGAACATTTTGGCCATGGAAACTTTCAGAAAACTTTTCTTAGTGTGAAGAACATTTTAATAATCTAAAAAAACATTTTTACACTATAAAGAACCATTTGTGCTTAAATATTTAGTATTTTTAGGGGATTTGATGGTACTAAATTATATATATGCATTAGTTATGATCCATTTATTACCTTACCTTTTTGAGCAAAGACCAAAAATTTTGAAAGTTACGAAAGTTAAACTATCGTAAATCTTAAATGCTTTGGAGCACAGACTTCAATTTGGTCTCTTTTTAAAAGAGACACATTAACAGGCAGGCTATTGCTGAAAAAAAGTTAAAGTGAAGCTTGAAAAAAGTTGTCGAAGCTTAAGTTTATTATTATCAAAAATGCACAAAAATACTATTTTAAATTTTAAATGAAATTTATATTTTCCAAAACATGTTTTACTCTACACCTGTGAGAAAATCAAAGCCATAAATCTAAACAAGCTGTGTTCCAAATTTGAAGTTGATATCTCAAAAAATGAGCTTTTAGTAAGATTTTGTTTGGGCGCAGTACCAAATGCTTCCACTAGATGATATTGGTTTCCCATTCATTTCCAATGATAATTTCCATAATTTTTCCAGTAGCATTTAACCTTTTCGAATCATGCCATTAGCATGTTCACATAGCAAGTGCCCAAAACAAGTTTTGTACCATTCTGATGAAGTAAAAAAAAAACAACGTAAAAATGTTTCGGTCAAAAATGACGAAGATCACCAAAGTGTTGAAGAGAAGCTACATATTCGTGTGTCACTCACTTATGGCACTTTTCCACTGCATGGTATGGCACGGTACGGCTCGGTACGGTTCACTTTTGGGGGGTTTTCCACTGGGTACAGTACCTGGTACTTTTTTTAGTACCACCTCGGTTGAGGTTCCAAGTGAACCGTACCGTTACCAAAACGTGACGTGTAAACTCTGCTGATCACAGATTGGCCAGAGAGAATCATCACTACCTGCGTCACTGAACTTGTGACAGACACAACAGAACCGCTAGATTTAAATCAGCACAGCCAGCGAAGGATCGAACACAACTGTTTTGAATGAGCGCACCTTTTTTTTACTACAAAACAGTTTCGTTGTCTGTTGAGGAAGTACTGACGTTCCTCTCGTTGATAGCAGATGAGCAGAATAACATTAAGATTTTTTGCATTGTAGCATGATTTTCATGACAACTAAGTACATAATATATAAAAAAGAAAGACAGACAGACTGGAATTCACAATTTAAACTTCCCTAATATTTCCAAGCGTTCAGTGACTATGAATTTTTATTTTGAATGCAGATTTTAATAATAATTAAAAAAAAAAGGTCAGATAGGATGATTTTTAATAATGTATTACAGTAAGAAAGATGCTTTTCACATTATGGTGGCCAGCAAGAGCGAGGGTGAGGTAGCACAGAAAAAAAGAGGTGAATGAAAAAATACCTATCATTAGAAAGATACAGCATCCACACTGCCTACTGTATATTACCAATTAATTATAAAGAGTGAGCTAAATCTGTGCAAGATCAGATCTAGCTGATGATCACTTGTTCAGCGGTATATACTAAGCCAAGCCTTACTATTACTATCAGGTTGTGGACTTTCACAAACCGCTAACTCTACAGCATTATACTTTGATACATACCTCATCCTGCTCCTTTTGTGCAACAGACATAAGCAAAACCTCAAAATGTATGGCTTATTGAGGAGAGTTGTGCAAAATTATCACTTATAATTTTTTAAAAAGCAGATGAAACAAACATGTCCTTGTGTAAAATAAGTGTACTTAACTGTATTGAATGTGCACTTTTAGTGTACTTTAAATGTAAAATGTATTAAAAAACTTTACTTGAAGATAATATAGTAATGAAATAAAGTACACTTAAGTGTACTTAGAGTATACTTTCATGACTATGTTGTACACGCTTAAGTACATTTTTAAAAAGTAGAGTCAAATAAGTTTCACTATAAAGCACATTAAAAAAAATTCTAATTGTTTTGTGCTGTAAATAATTATACTAAGGGGGTGTTTACACGACACTGTTTTCAACGAAAAGAAAAAAAATTGTTTTGAGGTTTTGGTTCCTTTACATGACAACAGGGTTTTGGGGGCCTGAAAACGCAAACTTTTTGAAAATGGGTTTCAAAGTGAAAGTTTTTGAAAGCTATACTCTTTTTGTCTGCATGTAAAGAAAAAATGTGAAAAGCGTGGCGTGTATTATGTGTTCAGTCTATAGGTATGTGCGCAGGCGCATAATGTTTCTTTACAAAGTAACATCGCCAACTACAGGCCTGGCATGCATAATACAGCATTTTTAGTCGTTTTCACTGATCTGTATAAACGGGATCGTTTTTGACAGCGTTGACATCTGTACGTGAAACTTTTCAAAAACACAAAGGGAAAAACGTTTCCGTTTTTAGTACATTTTGGTAATGTAAATGTACACTTATTTTGATGTGTTTACTATACTAAAAACATGTAAAGCACTTTTTATCATTTACACCTTAGGGTGTTATTTGAGCTTACATTTTAAATTATTAAATTGCAACTTTATCATTACATATAGAGATGCACTTAAGTCCTACTTAAGTGGGTGAAAAAACAGTTCAACTAACTGCATTCAATATAAATTTAAACTATTATACATTGTCATTTAATTGACAGCGAGAAAAAAAGTTACGCCTTCTTTTTTTGCGTGAACATTTGGGCGGTGTTATGCAAATCTTCCCACATAGTGTGGTAGATATGTGGGGGCGTGTTCGAACGAGCCGTTTTAGGTAGGTGTGGCTAACTCTTAACTTTTATAAAGAATATCTCTTTGGATGTGAGACTTTAGTCTTTACAACTTTACAGATCTTCTTTATGCACCAAGAGCTTGTAACACTCCAAAGAGAAAGGAAAAAATGAAATCGCATCATATGACCCCTTTAAAACATTTATTCAGCTTCAGTGGCTTCATGCATTATTAGTGCGGTGCTTAGTCAGACACTTCCGGATATTCAGAGGAGGATTCCTTGTAAACAATAACAAATGAAGCAGCTGCCTGCTGTGCTGAGAAGAGGACTATTTTGATTTGGTGAGATCAGCAAAAACGTCTACCGCTTTGGAAAGATTTACCCATATGCACCTGTCAGTTACTTTTGGAGTAGCATCTTGACAAGCATGAAAAAAGATAGCAGAGAAAATAAACTCATAAAAATTAAAGAATGGCTTGTTCTGCAGTGAATGGGTGCCGTCAGAATGAGAGTCCAAACAGCTGATAAAAACATCACAATAATCCACACCACTCCAGTCCATCAGTTAACATCTTGTGACGTGAAAAGCTGCATGTTTGTAAGAAACAAATCCATCATTAAGACGTTTGTAACTTCAAACTGTTAATTCCGGCTAAAATAAGAGCCCTCTATCTGCTTTCTCTAGTGAAAACGTCGTCTCATTTGAATTGGGAGAGAAATATGCACAGATCAAGCACCGTTTACAAACCAAAACAGTTTTGAACATATATGCTGATAGATTTTGATGTGAGGAGACAACACAATATTGACTTTTCATTGGATGAAGCATTATTATGGATTATAGACTCATATTTTAGCTGAAAGCAGCAGTTTGAAGTTAAAAACATCTTATTTGTTTTTTACAAGCTCACAGGTTTTCACTTCTCACAATGTTAACTGATGGACTGGAGTGGTGTGGATTACTTGTGAATTATGGTGATGTTTTTATCAGCTGTTTGGACTCTCATTCTGACGGCACCCATTCACTGCAGAGGATCCATTGGAGAGCAAGTGATGGAATGCTGAATTTCTCCAAATCTGTTCCAATGAAGAAACAAATGTACATCTTGGATGGCCTGAGGGTGAGTACATTTTTAGCAAATTTTCAGTTTTGGGTGAACTATTCTATTAAGGTATTCCTTTAAAGGGGTCATATGATGCTAAAAAGAACATTATTTTGTGTATTTGGTGTAATGAAATGTGTTTATGCGGTTTAAGGTTCAAAAAACACATTTTCCACATACTGTACATTATTGTTTCTCCTCTATGCCCCGCCTTTCTGAAACGCGTCGATTTTTACAAAACTCATCGGTCTGAAAAGCGAGGTGTACGCTGATTGGCCAGCTATCCAGTGCGTTATGATTGGCCGAATAC